AACAGAAAAAAGTCAGTGGAACAATCCAGAGAGCTCACTCAGTACCAGGAATAACACACAACATTGGCTGTCACAAGTGTGTTGCCGTAGTAGTGTGGGCAAATTCGCCCTAGACTAACAGCTGCTCTCAAACTGCTCTAACAAAGCTTAAAAGCAAGCCTCAAAAGGATTGAACTGATCACAGAACTAAGCCCAAAAATATTTAAAGGAATACAACAAAATCCAGCACCCAACAACAAAAAATTCACCATGTCTAGCATCCAATCAAAAATTACCAGGTGTGTAGAGAAACAAGAAAATAGAACCCATAACCAGGAGAAAAATTAACATATAGAAATATACTTAGAATGGCATAAAAGGTAGAATTAACAGACAAAAACATTAAGATAACTATTATAAATATACTCCATATATTCAAGACTATATGAAAATAAATGGACAATACAAAAAAGATCCACTAGAACTTCTAGAAATGAAAAATTCCTGTATTGAAAGATGCACTGAATGGGATTAATAGCAGATTAGACAGTATAAAAGAAGACAGCCAGTGAGTTGAAGATAATGGTGATGGAATAATTTGGAAAAGGATAGTGAGAATTGGAACACAACTGGAAGAACATAATCAATGTCACTGAATTGTACATGTAGAAATTTTTGAAATGGTGTATCTTTGGCTATGTATATTTTCACCAAAAAGAAAAAAAGTCCTCCAAGGTCAAGAAGGGAGAGTGTTGACATGTCGAAGGGCTGCCAACCAATGTCACAAAACAATATGTGTACTGACTATTTAATGAGAAACTATTTGTTCTGTAAACCTTCACCTAAAGTACAATTAAAAAAAAAGAAAACGGCAATAGAAATTATCCAAAATTAAACAAAAACACTGAAAAAAAATGAACAAAACATCAGTGAGCTGTGGGACTACATCAAATGGCATTATCACATTAAATTGGAAGGGGAAATCAGAAAATATATTCAAAGAAATTGTGGTTGATATTTTTCCAAATTAGATGAAACTATATAAACCCACAGATCAAAGAAGCTTAATGAACCCTAAACAGAAGAAAACCACACTAAGGCTCATCATAACCAAATTGCTAACTGTGGCATACATCACCTCTGAAGGCCTCCCCTCCCCCAATCAAGTCTCTCCAAATCTGTGAGATAACTGTTGTTAAAGTTCAGTGCTCATCAACAGTCCCTACTGCTCAAAGACTTCTCAGTTGAACCCCATTGCCCATCAAATAATGTCCAAATCACTTAAGTTTGGTAGTTAGGATTGCTCATAACCTGGCCCCAAACTATTAACTGCAGAATTTTCCGATGATTCCATTTACATTTCTTTCACTTCAAGCCACTAAGATAGTTCCTTCCCTGTCCACATGGTCTCCATGGTTCCCAGCCTCTGGGCCTTTGCTCACACTGGAGAGCACTCTTTCTGGAGAGGCACCTACTGTCTTTGTAGTAAATCCCATTCTCCTTTCAGGTGTCAAGTAAGGAAATGCCAACTCGTCTAGAAAACCTCTCTTGCTTTATCTACCATTTCATCAATTTCCCTCTTGTAGGGCCCAGCATAGTCTACCATATCACCATTCTTGCATAGGTCTTATCTTTCCTACTAGATTATAAGCACCTAGAGGGTAGGGGCCACATCTTCTTATGGCATAGCCTCTTGGCATATTAGTGCTCTGAAAGGTTTTTGAATGAATGAATAAAAAAGAGCCCATGTTCCCTACTCAGGGTAGTGAATGGTGATTAAAAATAACCCAGTGCTTGCTGAAGATCTGGGAAAGATCCTCCAAAGGGGGAAAGATGGTGGCATCAGTCTCCCTGGGATGTGGTAAGGTGTCCCCCTCCCAATTAGCGCTGTCTGTCACAGCATCTTGGAGCCCTGGTGGTGCAGCAGTTAAGTGCTTAGCTGCTAACTGAAAGGTCAGTGGTTCAAACCCACCAGCTGCTCCACGGGAGAAAGATGTCGCAGTCTGCTTCCATAAAGATTATAGCCTTGGAAACCCTATGGGGCAGCTCTCCTCTGTCCTGTAGGGTCTCTATGAGTCGAAATCAACTCAATGGCAACAGGTTTTTGTTTTATTTTGTCAGTGTCTCAGGGCCTCTACAGTTTGGGGCAGGGATTGCAGAGGGCACACGTTGTAGGTCAAAGATGCACATCCTTCTGGGGCTGTGCAGGAGGAGGGCAGGGGGGCTGGCCTCACCGCTCCCCAGCAGCTCCACTCTACCCAGCTGGCTCTTAGAGAATGGGCAAAGATAGATGCTGCCCCCACTCCCCACACCCTATCTCCCTGCTTGGCCTGGTGAAGCCAGCTGCCCCTCCTCTGTCCCAAGGTGTTAGGGCGCGGGAGGGAAGCAGCTGAGGCTCCTTTACTGACCCAAATCGGGTTTACTTTTCACCGTCAAGGAGCCTGGCTCACTGGCTCAGGGTCTAAATCCAGTTGATTTTGCACCATCAAGAAAACCGGCAGGTGAATCCTGATTGTACAGTTCTCCTTTGGGTCTAGACCATGGACCTGACATTTCTGTCACTGCGGGGTCAGTGTCCCAAGGTGGACCAGGAGAAATAGTCTTCCTTCGTCTCTCTCTGCTGCTGTCTCCTGAAGCCCTGCCTTGGGAGGACAGAATCCCAGCCCAGCATAGGCAGAAGGGCCCAAGCAGCCACCATGGTCTGTGAGTCAGCACCAGGCCCGTCAGTGCCCTCCCCAGAGCAGCAAGGCCGTAGCACGGACACCCCACACGCACCGCCATTTACTAGCCATGTGATCTCAGCCAGCTTCATTTTCCCATCTGTAAAATGGGGTAGTAGCAGCGCCTACCTGGTGAGGCTGCTGGGAGGACAAGACGAATTCGTGCACGTGACCTCTCAGAGTCCTCACTACGTGGCGTCTGGAGAGCACCGCGGGCTACGCTATGACTGTTTTTGCTCCTCGGGCGGCAGCCCAGCCTTTTCCCAAAGAGACATCATCATGACTCTCTGGGCCTTTCCTACAGCTGAGCTGAGCTCAGCCTCCAGCCCCTGCCAGCCAAATGGCTGTTTTCAAAGTTCAATGACATTAGACATGCCCCGGCCCCTGCACACCATCCACTGTGGACCAGAAGGCCTGGCACGAGCCCGTGTGCTCCCAGGCCAGGCCGCTCCCAGCCAACACCCAGCACAGAGGCGGTGCTCCATGCAAGTGGTTTGCATAAGTGGCTGAATTAGCCCACTGGGGGATTATTCCAAGACCTTCTCTGGCACTGTCCCTACAGGACACCAGAGTGCCCGAGGCATGGTGCGGGGTTCGGGGATGGGGCGGGCTGCCAACCTGCCAATCCACAGGGCACAGACCCCCTCGGTCCTGCTAGGGAGAGCGAACATGTAAAACTCCACGTCACACACAAATGTTGTGACTCTCTAAGCCAAACATGTCCACGTGAAGGCGGCCCTGGCTTCTATCATGAGGAAGCTTCCAAGGAAAGCCGGGAGACTGGCCAGGAGAGGGACAGAAGTACCTCTGCTCTGGGCTGAAAAACTGACATCAAAGCAATGGCTGTCGATGGAGAAACCAACAGGGCACAGGCAGGCTTTGTCCCCTGAACAGCGGCCACAAGCAAACTGCAAACCCTTCACGTGGACAGCTCCAGAACGCTGTCCCAATCTGCGGCAGGATTTCAACACCAACTACTGGGAAACCGAAGTTCTTCACCATCACTGTATAGAAATCTGCCCCTTGTATCTGCTCTTCTAAAAACTGCATTCAGTGCTGACCATTTGTTCAAACTGGCCCCTGGGCCCTGGACCAGGTGATCCCCCTCCCAACAGCCTCAGCTCCTGCTTGTACAAGAAGCCGACTCCTGGCCCTCGCCCTGTGATTCTGGACCAAGCCCCTCTGCACTCGGCAATGGTTTTAGACAAAACAGAGTTTTCTACTTTTTTTCTTGATGTCCTTATGGACAATGTATAAAGGACTGGCTTTCCCCCATCGTGAGTCTTTTATTTCCTAGGCATAGTTTTTGTCTGTTGAAAAACTGAAGTTCATTCAGACTTCAGATTAGCTGAATGACTGGTGGGAATCTTTCAGGATTCTGCATGTGGGTTCAGTTCAAGTATCATCTCAGAAATCCGAAGTTCATCCCCAGCCTCCCCCACACAGGTACGCTGTCACAGCCCCGGGATAGTGTCTTCATAGCACTTTTCACCTCTGAAGCTATTGTGTTTCTTTGCTTGTCTATCGGGAGGGTAACTCTACCAGGGCAGATGCTGTCCTGTCCACAGCTGTGTCTCCAGCAGGGGCGGACCTATCTCCAGCATACAGTCTGCTGAATGAATGAGTCTACTTTAATAAAAAGAAGAAAAAAAGAGAACAACTACTGGCAATTACAGATTTTCTCCACCAAAAATAATAGTCCAGTATAAGGTTTCCGGCTCTCCAGTCAAGGGCAGAGGAAACATCACACATCTACTTTAAAACTATCTTGGATAACTCAGAAATAAATGAAGCAGTTAGACTTGATGGACAACGTTAAACCCTCTGTAGGAGCCGTCATTTCAGCACCCAGATCACCCCCCCTCAACCCGACACAGCCTTCCAAGTCAGCACAGAGCTGAGGCTGTTTAAAGCAACACCTTCTCAAGGAGTGCGGCAGGGCGGTGGGTGCAGGCTGCCCTCGGGCCCTCGGTGGTTGGTGGCTGTCTGGGTGACCCTGAAGCATTTGCTTCGTCCCTGCAGCCTCATCTCCCTGCAGGAAAACAGGGGCACCGTTTGCTTGACGACAGAGGTTCTCCAGGCTTGAACATTAAAAAAATAAAAAACCAAACCCATTGCTGTCTAGTCGATTCTGACAGAGTAGAACTGCCCCATGGGGTTTCCAAGGAGCAAACGGTGGATTCAAACTGCCGACCTTTTGGTTAGCAGCCAAGCTCTTAACCACTGTGAGCCCACCATCGTTCAACCAAAAAGACTGAAGACGATAAATCTAATTATTTCTTTAAAGCATTAACTCCCGAGACACTGAAAGAAAATATGCAAGAAATGAGCTCCAAGGTGTGTCTTATGCACACCTGGTAACACAGCTGTAAACCACGTCACACAGGCGAGTCAGCAGTTTGCTAGTTACACTTCCTGTCCCTCGCGGCTCACGGAACCCTGGCCCAGGCCCTGGGCTGCTGTGTCCAGGCACACAGGGCACACAGGGCCCTCAGGACCTGGACACCTTCATCTTCTCCACCATTGTCCCATGTCTTTTAATTCTGAATTATCAACCCCCAAATTAAAAAGGGCGGACTCAATTTTCCTTCACAGAAGAAATTATTTTATTCCATTTGAGAAAAGTAGCAGATACAGATATTTGTTCTTTGACAAAAGTGACTTTCCCACGGGGCTCTGACTGGGCCTGGGTTGTGGTGACAGATGTGGTAGAAGCGTGCCCCCTGGCGGCACAGCGAGCATGAACATTTGGCCAGAAAAGCCATTACATGATCAAAACATTTCCCGTAGCAAAAGTTTCACAAGTTCATTTTATCCCGGAGATCATCGTGGTATCTAAGAAAACATTAAATTTTGAAGATTATTTAAATTTGGTAATTGAACCTGGGCGAATCGCTGCTTTTTCACACCAACTGATAAGAAAATGGAAGGCTATTTCAAGTACTCTCTCCACACCTCCTCCTCTCAGTGAAGAGATCGCTTACATTTATCTCTAGGCCAAATGTGTCAAGGTCTTCCCAAAAAGCCAGTCTGAGGTGGTCAAATGCCATCCACTCCCACCAAAGCTCAGCGTTTGGCTCCCTGTGAACCTCTCTGAGGCGCCCATTTCCACCCCTCCATGACCCGAGGCCGGGCTCCTGCCAGAGCAGCCCCCGGGGCAGCAGTGGGCCCCCCCCACCCCTCAGTCCTGCCCCTCCAGCCTCAGCATCACTGCTGCCTTGTCCTGGGGGGACGGGATGGAGAGAACTCTCACAGGGCACACCTCAGGCCCACAGGTACCAGGCCTCCTCCTTTAGTGGCCTGTCACAGTGTGCGGCACCCCTAGATGCCCCGCTAAGTGTTGAGTCTTTCAGCACTAAGCTACACTGTACGTAGTTTTACTCTAGAGGTGTCACCTAGGAAAAGCAACTGCGCCCCATCTCGTGCTGTGGCTCCAGCATCCCCAAGAACAAAGTCGGGGAAGGAGCAGGCCGAGTGCCCCGTGCTCCCGACACCACCCTTCCAGGGGTCTGCGCAGCCTTAGAAGAGGGGCACATGGAAGTGAACGTGTGCTGGAGCCTCATTAGAGAGGCCTTCACCCTTCTCTCCACACCCGGTCAGGTCTGCACCCTGGGCCAGCAAGACATCTTTCAAAGAACGCTCACTTGGACGCACTCCTCACGTGAAACTGGCAGCAGCCCCGTGTGTCCCGCCAGGAGGTGCCGGCCACACCACACTGCGACTTAACACATGCCTGTGTTTCAGACTAAGCACGTCTAAAGGTGCAGTGAAGAGAACCGCAGTTTCCCCAGTACTACAGCAGTTTGGATTCGGGGCTTTTTCAAGTCTAGGAGTGACACTGCCTCACAAAGGCTAACTGATGAGGCAAACACGAAGTAGGGCTTGTTACGATTTCAACCGGTCACTCCCTAAAGGAGGCTGAGGCAGCTCTGCTGGGGAGACACAGAGCACCACCTCTCAGAGCAGGTCCCCCTCCGTAGCAGGCATGGAGCTGCAAACAGCCAGGCGGCCAGACGCCAACCCTGGTGCGGCTCACACTGCAGGCCTCCTTGTTAAGGCCAGTCCTCTTCCCCAGCACGTCCAACCTGGGGGACACTCACAGCCAGTCCATTAAATGTCCTTAAGAGGCAGCAACCCGTGACGGTCTCTCTCACCTCTCTGGATACAGGAGGCCAAAGGAACAGTGTCTGGGTCCCGTAGCCTTATGTCAGGGGAGGCTGTTCCCCAGGGCGAGTGCAATTGAGAACACAACAGTGATGTATGAAAGGTGTCCATCAGTCGTAGAGAAGAAAACGCAGCACCTCAGGATGTGGCCAGTGACAGCTGATGCACATCAGGAGCCCAGCTGCTAAAGCTGGGCTAATTCTTTAAAAACAAAAAGCTTAGTTCCCTGCGTGGGTGGTCTGACCGAAATGGCTGTCTGAATTGGGAATGGCTGGCACTGGCATCACTAATTTGGGGGCTTTCCCTGGAATTGCAGTCATTGCTATCGAGTCACTGGGGACAGCTGTTGTGTTCCAGCTACTAGGTGTCTCGCCAGTAGCTTGTATTTTAAAATAGACTAAATAAAACACTGGCAAAACAATCCCAATCAGGAGCATGATAAAAACAGCATTCCACCACTGAATTCCACAGTCCGTACCATTTGTCGGTGACTTCTGAGTAGCAGGAAGCAGCGGCTGATTGGAGGTCTCGATGCAGTAACTTTCATGTAAAAAGATTTCTGACCGCACTGCACGCTCAATGTTCTGGTCAATCCCCTTAAAGAAATCTGTCAGCTGGCTGGACTGGCCCCCAGCGCCTGCAGCTGCTCTGTCTGGGTCCGGCAGCTCCGTGAAGGTCACTCGGGTCTCTGAGGACGGGCTCGGGAGGGGTTTTAGCTCTTTGTGTGTCTCCGTTAGGATCCCATGGTTTTTCACTGGAATCTTAATAGATTTTAAAGCATATAAGTCTTGTTCGCAGATGAAGTGGTTGACTTTCTTGATCTCTGCCACCTAGAGAAGCCATGAAGAACGCCAGCATGAAATATGTAAAGCTCCCTAAAATTCACACCCAAATTGTAGCTCTAAGCCCTTCCAGGTGATGAGACAGCCCTGGCCCGCTTAAGTGTCTGATAAACATCAGAAACCTACATCTACATCTACACACTGTTAGTTTAGCTGAATAACTTTATTCTTTGGCTTTCACTCAGTCTTAATGTACATCTGAATAATTTTCCTAGAGATGTACAAGTCTGAACAATTTACGATCACTTTTGGAAAACAGATTTTTTTTTTTTAAATCTGTTTAAAGTGTCACTGCAACGAACTGCTTTTACATGAAAGAATCAAGGTGTAGCCTTCTTCCGTTTTAACGTTTATATACTTTTTAACTTTTGAGGAAACACTGCCCCCATCTGGCTGACTTCCCTCTCACATCAGATCAGCAGCTGCCTTACTCATTACCATTAACAGACACTGCAGGGCCTCAGCCAGCTCCACAGATGCACCAGGAGCCCTGCTTCCCTGTAAGGATGTCATGAGAGGTGTGGCCTTATGGTCTGACCACACTTTCTTTCCCAGAAGTACTGCATGGCATATAAACTTACTTTTTAAATAAAAGTGACCTGTACTTAATTCACCTGGAGAATTTCACAATACTTCTTAACAATAATTAGAAATGTGGGGAATCACAAACTGAGTTGGAAGCTATGGACTGAGCACTTCCATTCCAGTAAGGACTCGAGGAGAAGCGAACTGCCCTATACATTTTATCAAGCGACAAAGTTCATCATAAACTCTTCTCATAATCATACATGATGACCTCTGACCCTAAGATTTAAGAAGTGGGGGGACATTTAAGTCAAAAGGTAAACCTTCCCTCAAGCTGATGTCTGAAAACTTATCAAAAGCATCAGAGACGAATTCTAATGTTTAACTCATAAGTCCACGTAAACTAGAGTGCAAACACAGCCACTGGAGCTTTAAATAGAGCCTTATTCAAATCAATCACCTCCATTGTCATTATTTAGAAATTGCTTTTATCATTTCATTCAATTGTGGTGGGTGACATTTTTAATTTATCATGTCCTAAAACTAACCATCACATGACATGCTTGAGACCCTTTTGTCTTTGCCTCTAATAAACCAACAGAAAATTATTTACTTCAAATAGGAAAACTGACCACTTATAGGAGGCATTATATATTCTTTACTGATTTATTAGGCACCAACATTCCAAGAAGCCTAACCCATTTACTCAGGTCTTTCTAGGGTAGGATGCGTTTCTCAACCCATGCTCTACAAACAATTCACTATGCTCTATAAATAATTCATATAAGGTGCTTGTTAAGAGTCAAATATGAATGTCAGTACAATTTAAAGACCTCTATGTATCACTGGAGGCCAATGAGTTATTTCCAGGAAAGAATATAATACCCCCCACAATGTGTTTAGCTATTTGGACATCGTTAGATAAATCACATTTTAAGGAGGAAAAAAAAAATTTTAAACAAGTAGTTTACACAACGTTGGAGAAGGCCATAGAACTTGGAAGCACAGGGTTAGTTAGCAAAATGAAATATACAAATAGCTTCAATCTAGGAGGAAATGCAGGAATTCTATAGATATTTTCCTACTTACTTTGCCAATGTTAATCACTCTGAATGCTAAAAACATAATTAAAAAGAAAAACAGGGTTACACAGATACGCAGCATACCAAGACTAACTAGATCATGCAGTTCTAAAAGAGAGAACTTTACCAGTCAAATAAACTACCACCAGGAAGAAAAGTTTTTTAAAAAATTAAAGTTGCAAGAAAAACAAGCATGCAAAGAAATCTTGGATCAATTTTGCCTGGCATCTCTAACACCTCTAGGTCTTAAATAAATTGTGCTTAAAAGAAAGAAAGAAAGAAAGAAGTGTCCTCATTTCTACTTGGAGGGGCAGGAAGAGTAGAAGGAAGTACCCCGCAGAGAAGGAAATGCCCTATCATCTGAGATCCCAGACTAACCCTCACTCCTTATTACCCCCCAAGGTTCTGAAGTAAATGTTCTTCCATCTGCCTCTCTGGCTACATAGGGGAAGCTTTTACCGCTACATGGTCCCGGGTGGTGCAAACGGTTTACACTCGACTACTAAACTACACTGGCAGTTTGAACCTACCCAGTGGTGCCACAGAAGTAAGGCCTGGCGATCTGCTTAAAGATCACCCACCCCCTACTGCCACAGAGTCCATTCTGACTCACAGCAACCCTTTCCGACGGAGTTTAACTGACCCCTAGGGTTTCCTAGGCAGTAATCTTTAGAGAAGCAGAGTGCCATATCTTTCTCCCGCCTAGTGGCGGGGGGGTTCCAACTGGCTGCCTTTCGGTTAGCTGCCCAGCGCTTTAACCACTGTGTCACCAGCGCTCATTAGAGCCAGGAAAACCCTATGGAAGCAGTTCTACCCTGTAACACACGGGGTCGCCATCTTTTTGTTTGTTTTGCTGCTACAGCAGGCCTCTCCCAAACACCTCCCAGGGGTCAGGAGGAGGCAAGACCCCCACCCCTCAGTGAATTGCTGTGTCCCTTGCCCTGTCCCCTGAGGGTTCCTTACTTTGCAGCCGTACTCCAGCGCCAGCTTGTTGAGGCTGTCCTCCTGGGCCAGCTCCCGCTGCAGCAGGACCACGTCGGTGGCTCCTGGCTGGTGAGGGTGGGGGGCGCAGTCTTCGTGGCGCTCCTTGCCCCGGGGCCGCAGAACCAGGCGACGTGACTCTTCCTCGGAGGAGTCCCCCGAGTCCCCGCTGCCATCCTTAAACACGTAAACATGGCTGCTCGGAGTCCTACACACAACGGCCGGGCCTTGGAAGGTCTTGGTTAATACTTCCTTCTGCCTCATTTTCTTAACTGAAAACCAAACCCGAGGTTAATTCCACACAAGGCATATTCATTCCGCTGTGGCTGCGTTAAAGGTAAGTGTCTTTTGCTGTTAAAGGTTCTCTCCCTAATCATTGTGCCTGCTTAACAAGAACCATCAGTCCAAAAAATGTGCTTATGCTGGCTGGGATGGAAGGAGGTAAGCAGAGTAAAAACTGCATTTTTTCCGTAAGTGCATACTTTTTGCCCAAAAAACAAAGGTTCCCCCTTCTTCTCCCGTTATTCCTCATCCATAGCTGTGTCTCCCCAACACCCACATCTGTACAGAAGCCACTTCTATTTGTGGTGTCCGAGTAGTAAAGAGGAGGGGAATCCCTGCCATGACAGGCAATACTGCATGCCTAGCTTCCTGGCCACTGAGAACCTTAAATTCCCAACCTTTTCCCAAAAACTCGTATTCAATACTGGGCGCACTAGAAGTATCTTCACTAAGGTCAATACTACGGCCACTTGCTTGCCAAGAAGCACGAGGCAAAATTACTTGTATTTTGAAACAGCTTGAATTATACGTGAGGCAAGTTAGGGGCAAATCCCGGTCAAACTGAGAAATCGCCCCGTTTTCTCACAGGTCTCCTTGCATTCATTACACCTGCACGTCTAGTCTTCGTTTTCACTGTCAGCCAAGTGCAAAGCCACAACACGCCCTTTCCCCTCTCCAAACTGTTCGAACGAGATTCAGAGCTGAAATCTCAAGCACTGGGATTGACAGCGTCAAAAAACAGCTGGCACCGGCGCCCTGCGGAGCCACTGGGGGGCAGACCATCCGGGATAGCCCGCGACCCCCAAGCCGACCCTCGGGCAAGCTGGGAGCTCGGGAGCCGCCGCCCGACCCCGCTCCCCCTTCCGGTCTGAGCTCCGGGCCTGCAAGACGGCCCCAGCAGCTCTCAGGCCTCAGCTTCTCTCCAGCCCCCTCCGTAGAAGGAGGGGGTCTCCACGCAGAAGCTGACAAAGAAACCGAGCAGCGGCCGCCCACAGGCTTACACGGGCGGAGCCCCGACGTTCCACAAAGGCATGACCTTTAACCTCTGACCTCCAACCCAAGGATGTACGGCCGGCCTTCGACGGTCCCGGTCGCCCCCTCCACCTGGGGGAGTGGCGGCCCGCCCCCAAACCAACAAGCGAGACCAGGCAGGGCACCACGGCCCCCACTGCAAACCAGCTACCTCACCGCACAGGCTCCGCCGCGCCCGCTGATTGGCCTCGAAAATCAGGAAGCCCTCCGAGGGGCGGGGCCTACGAGGCAGCCAATGAAATCACCGGTGGGTGGGCACTGGAAGGGGCCAAGCGGTGCTGAGAGGTCAGACGCGGACCTGCAGGCCGTGGGGGCGGGGCCGCGGGGCTGACGCCAGGGGAGGGGCCCGGGGGCCGGGCCAAGGGGTGGGGGTCCGGCTCGCAGGTCTGAACTTCGGCGTGCCCGGCTGGCTATGACGGCGGCTCCAGACCTAGGCTGTAAACGGCTTTAACGCTCACTTCGCAAAGTTCACAGCTGTCTGCTGAGCCTCAGTTTTCTCAGCACTAGAAGAGGGCTTGGACCCAGCCCCGTGTATAAATGCCCGCGGGTCTGTGGCGGGCGCGGGTTCGCAGAAGAGCGGATCTCACCGCCGAGCCTCCGGCGGAGAAAGCGGCCCTCTGGCTCCGTCTAGATGGGCTTGGGCCTCTTATCGCGGGATATTCGCTGATCCTGAGCCTTTAGGGGCCGGGCCACGAGAATAAGAACAGTCTGCGAACATTGAACCACAAATAAACAAACAAAAAAAGTAGTATTTATGAAACACCAGATGGTGGAGGATTTCTTAAGCTTAAAAGTAATGAACTCTCACATGCCAAGCCGCAAACGTTTAAAACTTCTATCCAAAAATGGATATCAAAAAATGTCTTGTTAAAGCCATCCACTTGTGGTATTTCTGTTACAGCAGCACTAGGTAACTAAGACAATACTGAAGTGTGTAGTCTGATCTTCATCACTTAAGTGCTTCATGTCCTCTTGGCTTTCAGCAACCAAGGTTGTGTCATTTGCATAACACAGGTTATTATGAGTCTTCTCCAATCCTGACGCCGCCTTGTTCTTCATATAGTCCAGCTTCTCTGATTATTTCCTCCGCATACAGATTGAATAATTATGGTAAAAGGATATAATCCTGACACACACCTTTCCTGATTTTAAACCACGCAATATCCCCTTGTTCTGTTGGAATAACTGCCTTTTGGTCATTAAAGTCAACTCTACTTCAAGGAGGCACTTCTTCCCCAGTCGTATTCTGAGTGCCTTCCAACCTGAAGGGCTCATCTGGTACTGTACCAGGCAACTTTCTGCTGCTATTCATAAGGTTTTCACTGGTCAATTTTTTTGAGAAGTAGATCGCCAGGTCCTTCTTCCTAGTCTGTCTTAGTCTGGAAGCTCAGCTGAAACCTGCCCACTGTGGGTGACCCTGCTGGTATTTGAAATACCGGTGCATAGCTTCCAGCATCACAGCAATATGTAAGCCACCACAATATGACAAACTGACAGACGAGTTAGATAAATATCGATATTTGCAGTATTTTTTGGACGTTTGCTATGTTAGTATTAAATTATTACCCATGTTAGTGTTATATTAAATGTATGCTACATTGTGTTCACATGTATGCCAAATATATTGCAAAATTAAACTTATAAATAGTATTGCTTATAAAACTCAGGACATAATTGTACGTAAATGCTATACAGTTAAAAACCAATTTGATTGAATTCATTGCAATGGTTGATGTATTCGAGTTCCTTTGCTTTTGCGTGTCATCTTGGACTGGAGTTCCCATTGGTTGTTTACCAGGGTGTGTGCAAGACCATACTCTTGGGTTTGTATCATGGCAAAGAGCATTGTTGTCCCTCCTGGCTGAAGCTGCTGGGATCAGCAGACATGGATGTACAAGATGGTTCTCTCAAAATGAATCAGAGACCTATTATCTAGTAGTACAATCTGCCCTTGCCCAGTAACCACACATGTTGGATCCAGTTGCATATTGGGTGAATACTGCCAGAGTTAGACTCAACAGCCCAACCCCCACCTCTTGTTTATTAGAAATAAATAGTATATTCTCGAGGGACCCACTGAGATAAAGAGTTTCAGTTACATGGGAGGGAACCATAGGAGACAAATGTCAATGAATGTGTTGAAGTGGTAGGGATCTCATAGGGTAAACGACCTTGCTGGTGGCCACCCTCGTGACTGCATGAATTTTATTTCCGGTTGGCACATTCTCATGCACTGGAGCTGGTATCAATTTATTTAGTGCCCTTCCAGTTCCCTTCCACTGTGGCACTTGCTTTTCTTTGTGTCCTGTCTGCTTGGCATCTATGAGTCTTTGCTTTGGACAGCTGGTGCCCCTGTTTTGTTGATACCCTAAGCACGTGCTTATCTTGCTTATTGGATAATCAGTCCCTGGTCACTGTACAATTATTACTAACAGCACTTCCCTTCTCACAACTGTCTGAGTCTGGACATGCCCTGTGCCACTGTCTGGCAGTTTTCCCACTCAGCCTACACACTGCACATGACTCCCACCCACCCATTCGCAGATGTTACAATTCATCTCAGGCCCAGACAGTGGTCAGGTATCCATACTGAGTACCTGAGACAGCCACGACCAATCAGCCAATGCTGTCAGGACAGGTGAAAATGACTCACCATTACTACTTGTGTATCTGGTAGTCTTGATTTGGATTCACAGGTCGTGGGTTTTCTAGTGACTCAGGAAAATCTATTGGTCATTGGGGCTCAGTCTTCCATCCGTAAAATAGGAAGAACAAAACCTCCTGATGTCTTTCTGCTTATTGTAAAGTCATTGCTGAAAATAAAGCCCTTGGAAGAAATGTAGTTATGAGTGTTAAAGCTCATAGCCCCAATGTTATTGGAAGAGTGGTAGAAAAAAAGATTTAAGACATATATTGTATTTTGTACAGCCACCAAAACCAAAACCAAACAAAAACCAAACCAGTTGCTGTGGAGTAGATTCCAACTCATGGCAACCCTATGTGTGTCAGAGGAGAACTGTGCTCCATAGGATTTTCACTGGCTGATTTTGGTAAGTAGATCACCAGGTCTTTCTTCTGAGGTGCCTCTCAGTGGACTCGAACTGCCAACATTTTGATTAGCAGCCAAGTGCTTAATCGTTTGTGCCACAAGCTTTTTTTAAAAGTTAAAAGACATATAACAAATCAGTTAAAAATATTTGCCAGGCTTGACATACATGTTACTATCCTTAATATATAAAGCGGCTTCAGATCTCAATAAGAAAAAGCAAGCACACCATACAATAATTGCTAAATGATGCAAACAACTTACCAAAGAAATACTAATGACCATTAAACCTATAGAAAAAGGAATGTTAACTTTACAGAGAGTTAAATAGATAAAAACTCAAATAACTGAAAGATACTCTATATAGCCTATGAAATTGGAAATGTCAAACCTAAAAGGATGATATCAAAAGTGGTTGTTCGTGTGAGGAAAGGAGTACTCTGAGGCCCTGCTAGTGGAAGTGTTAATTGGGATAATTGTAGCATTATGTATCAATGACTTTTAAAGTGTGCATATTCTTCCACTGGGTAATAAAAGAAATCAGAGATGAAATCAAAAATTCCTAGAATCAAACGAGAATGAAAACACATCATACCAAAACCTTTGGGACACAGCAACGGCAGTCCTCAGATGACAATTTATAGCAATAGATGCACACATCAAAAAAGAAGAAAGGGACAAAATCAAAACATTAGCTACACAACTCGAACAAATAGAAAGAGAATAGCAAAATAGACCTACAGCCACCAGAAAAGGAAATAATAAAGATCAGAGCAGAAATAAATGAAATAGAGAATAGAAAAACAATAGAAAGAATCAACAAAACCAAAAGTTACTTCTTTGAAAGAATCAACAAAATCGACAAACCCCTGGCCAGAGTGACAAAAGAAAAACAGGAGAGGACGCAAATAACCCAAATAAGAAATGAAATGGGGGACATTACAACAGACCCAACTGAAAT